TCCAATAACCTGTATTTATCTCTGGTAAGAAAGAATATATCTTTGGGTCTATGTCATTGGTTTAGGCTATGTTCCTACTAGAGCAAAGGTCCTTGTGCTAAATTATGAAGCACATTCCCATAATACTTGGCTTCTTATACTCAGAGCACAGCTAAACCATGTGTGACCTTTGGATTAGATAACTTTCAAAGACTGCAGAGTAAGAGTTTTTATGTCTATCAGAACTTGGATCTGTGTTGAATGTTTTGCGCTTTTGATGCTTCCTCTTTCATGAATCTCAGACAAATATAATTTGGTTTTCATGTTAGAATGGTGTTATTTTTAGATGTGCAGAAGGAGATTAGATAATGCTGCATAGCAGAATTTTAAAATAAGTTCTGCAAAGTACAAATTTCACTATCTAAAATAGCATCCAGAGCTGCTCACCATCCTCTGTCACAAGAATATGAAGCTAATTAGATATTGGGTGAGCCATAGTCATATTATTGATTTTCTGTGAGCTTCTTAAGCCGATCAGAAAAAAAAAAAAAAGCCGATTTTTGAGTGAGGCTTCATTTTTCTGTTGGTGCTTAAAATACTGGTCAAGAATGTAAAAAAACAATGTTACTGTTGTTACTAATAAGTAAATGATAAGTCAAAAATGCCTGTGGGATAATTTTTTAAGTTTTGACTGGGTTTGCTATCCTGTTTGCTTTTTAATAAAACAGAAATCAGCCATCATGGACTGCCATGGTTAAATGTTGCCTGACTGCAAGGGTCAGTGATACCTGGCTAGGACCATCAGCAAATGCTGAAGGGATGGTTCACCTCATCTGCCTCTACCCATCTAACACTTTGAGTCCAAGCTTTGGGCTCCTTTGCTAGACCCCAGAGCTAGCCCTGCCAGGGGTGGGTGTTTCAGGTGAATCATGCTCTGGAGTTGCTGCTTCATTCTGGCTTCTACTGGAGACAAGCCAGGTATGGATCAGGGTGAGCAATTCTCTCCAGCTGGGTCCTTTTCCTGGCAGTCACTGCCACTCTGCTGTCCTCAGCCCCACATCTTGACGTGTTAAGAGTTCTTGAGTGTTCTTACAGATCTGTTGAGATGATAGGAACCATCAGCCCTGGCTTCCTGTGCTCCACAGGCGACAGGAGAGCACCTGCTGCCCCCAGAGCACAGCCCATACACCTCCTGGAAAGGCAGTCCTCAAACAGGCTGGAAACCCCCTAGTTCCTTGGAGGGCTGTCCAAGTGATGTGTGGGCCTGACTTAAACATGTGTGCCCTAATTCCACTTGAAGTTTTTCTGGTTTCAGCTTCCAGATCCTGTTTTTTTCGTGGCTTTGATCTCATTTAAAGAGGCTTTCAGAAACTGGCATCCAGATCCAGTACGTGATCAATGAGCAAGATTGCTGGCAGGGAAACACGTGTAAGGATTTTCTTTATATTTCCTAGATCACTGCCCCCAAGGAAAGGAAAGTTGCGTGGTGGCTACAGTCATCTTACCTTGAAACTTCTCAGATAGATACTCAGACACATCTACAAAGTAAAATACCATCCAGCATATTGGTGTGCTCCTATGGGCCTCTCTGCAGAGAAAATGCCCTACTGCCCTTTTTCTTGTATTATATATAAGCACCAAATCCAGCTCAAAAGCAGAATAATCTGGCTTGATTTTATTTTAATTATTTTAATAGTTTGATTACCATAATTTACTCGGTGTTTGATGAGAGGGACATGACTGTAGTTACATGCTCTTTGTGAGGCAATGATCTGAGTAGCTGAGGCACTGCAATTTGGTGAGAAGTGACAGACACTGATCCTTTAATTTGAAAACTGCAAGGTTGTTTCTTTTCACCCCTAAAAAAAAAAGAAAACAAACAAACAAAAACAAAAAACAAGCCTTTTGAGCATTCTAGACCTGTCATATCCATGTTTTCTTACAGCTACTGATCCCATGAAAAAATGAGTGATAAAGTGTCCTGAGCATAATTTATTTGAGCTGTTCTCATTAATTCAGTAGTTTCTCAGTTTTAAGGACATGATCATATGATAAATAAACAGCAGATATTTGCAGAATAAAGGGTTGTCTTCCTTCTACTGTGGTCACCAGAATTGGCCTTATTTCTAGATTCTTTTTAATTTCCTTATACTTAGATGAAAATAAAACTGTTAGGTGGGAGTGAGACAGGGAGCTTTGAATATCAGCTCTGTGATCAGCTATTAAAGTAGCTCTGGAGGGGGATCTGGACAGGCTGAATCTGAGACCACTTGTGTGGGGTTTAACAAGGCCAAGCGCTGGGTCCTGGTCACAACAGCCCCAGGCAGTGCTACAGGATGTGGCAGAGTGCCTGGAAAGCTCTCTGGCAGAAAAGGACGTGGGGGTGCTGGTTGACAGCAACTGAACATGAGTGTGCCCAGGTGACCATTGGCATCCTGGCCTGGATCAGCCAGGTGTGGCCAGCAGGAGCAGGGCAGTGACCGTCCCCCTGTACCCAGCACTGCTGAGGCCACAGCTCCAATCCTGTGCTCAGTTCTGGGCCCCTCAGTGCCAGAGAGACATTGAGGGGCTGGAGCGTGTCCAGGGAAGGGCAACGGAGCTGGGGAAGGGTCTGGAGCACAAGTCTCACATCTGAGGGAGTTCGGCGCATTTAGACTGGAGCAAAAGAGGCTCAGGTGGAACCTTATCCCTCTCTCTGAGTGCCTGAAGGAGGGTGTAGCAGGTGCAGGGGGCCTCTTCTCCCAGATAACAAGTGTCAGAACAAGAGGACATGGCCTCAAGTTGCACCAGGGGAGGTTTAGACTGCATATAAGGGAAATTTTCTTTACTGCAACAAGGGCCAAACATTGAAACAGGCTGCCCAGGGAAGTGGAAGAGTTGCTATTCCTGGAAGTATTCAAAAAGCATGTGAGATGTGGTGTTAGGGGACAGAAGTTAGGGGTTGACTTGCTGGTGCTGGGATGAGGGTTGGACCCAGTGATCTCAGAGGTCTTTCCTACCTAAAGGACTCTATGATTTGATAATTTCAGCTGTGTTCAATCACTGTTTTCCTGTCTTGTCTGAGGAAGTGCCTGACAGTTCATTTTCTTATCAGCAAAGCCTATATACTGTGCTAATGCTTCTTGATAAAAAACATAGAGAAAGTCCCTGAGCTGTCAGATGCTCTGTTAACTTAAATACAGTCCACATCTTTGCTCTTATCCCATTGCATACTTTGATTTGTTCTCAGCTGGAAAAAATCAGATCTATCTACCCTATGATTTTGCAAACTGCCAGTCATCTGGATTGGTCATAATTTGCTGGAAGACTTCTTTAAATAAGGAATTTATCATGGGTTCATGTCAGCATCTGTACTTGATTTTTACAAGTACATTTTTACTACATTTTCCTTGAAAAAGCATCTTTGAAGTTGTGCTCTATTTTTAGCTCTGTAATAATTGCAGCAACCTGATTGGGTTCAGTTCCTTTGTGCTTGGGATGACAGTGTGATACAGCAAATTGTCCTAGTGTCCATTAGGATTTATTGCATATATGGATGCAACCAATGTTTGAAATCAATTCAAAGATACTATATTTTTATTGCTAAAAAAAAAAAAAAGTAAAGTTATATTTCTCCATTTCTAACATGGCAAAATAGTTCTGTTTTCCCAACACAGTACAGCAGCATGTCTGTAACTTGCTTAGGCACAGTCCTTCCTTTCAGTATTACATAGGCAAAATATCAATTTCATCACAAAACAGAGAACAAAATAATAGACTCTGTTCAGTGCTTATCACTTTTGTTATATCTCATGACTTTTCTAGCCTCAAGGCATTAATGGCAGAGAACAAATTGTCTCATCCTGAGAGCTGCTAACCTGCCTGCCCTTCCCCACCCACCCTCCACAGCATCTCTGGTTGTCCTTTGGCAAGTGCTTCACATTTGCTTTCTGAGGCTTTCTAATTCTGTTGAAAATGCTAATAGTCTGTTGATCTGGAACACAGCCTCTTATTCCCTGTCATTTAAAAACCATCTCAACTCTCTTTTGATATTATGACATCAGAATACAGAAACTGCTTTGTAAAAAGGAAGAAAAAAGAGGATTGTTGAGTTACAGAGTGATCTCCAGTATGATCTGTTAGGGCAGAAACATGGGTGCTTCAGTGAGGTGCTGAGGTGTTACAGACATTTAGGTCCCACTTCCCAGCTGGCCACTGGCTTTGGGAAGACATGAACTTAACAGACATCTCTCCATCTTTGAGATGGACAAGCAAGAGAAATGCAGCTGATCTGGCAGTCACTTGGCCAAGCCAGCTCCTTTTTACAACTTACAGCCCCCTTCCTAGGGGTCTCAGGATCATCTTGCCTAGATGGAATTTTTTCAGAAATGTCTATTATGATGCATGCTTCCCTAGGAAGTAATTTTGCTTTCTTTTTTGCTTGACATTATTCACATTAAATTCTTCAGAAATCATTGAGGTTGAGGCAGAGATTTTTAAGATAAGCCAACAGAACTCAGATTCCACTGAAACTCAGTAGTATCTCACAGGTATTTTGTGCAAGCTCCTTCATCTCCTTCTGCCCTTCACAAGTATTTAAGTTTTGGACCAAATCTAATGATAGGTGCTTCAGAAATTTCAAATTGCATAAAAAATGTTCCTTTTTCTTAAGAGCAGAAATATTCTACAAGAGAAAGGAGGGGCAGGGCAACTCAAATAGGAATGGGACTGCAAAAATGAGCCAAAGGAAACCTGCTTGGTGGTTCGCATGCAAAGGAGCAACTCTGGACATGGTTAGGAAGCTGCATGATACAAAGATACCTGATGTAGGAAAAAATACAGTCTGTCCAAGCTCCAGGACAAACAATACAGCAGGATGTCAAAGTGTGCAAAGAAAAAGCTGGAAATAAAACAAAAATGTGTCCAAATTAATGATGGTCAGGACCATTAAGGGCTGTTGGTACCCTTGGGGCCCCAACATTCTCATCCTCAGATCTCCAACAGCATTTTCTAATTCAGTGCATTTTTGTTGATCCTCCCAGGTGCTGAAGTTTGTCCCTGAGGCTGGGCATACCAGAAGAAAAGGCAAAATCAGGAACAACATGTCCTTGGTAGACATACAGCTGGATCACCATGAGCGTTGTGATTGTGTCTGCAGTTCAAGACCACCCCGATAAAAAAGGAAAAATAAAGAAAAGAAAAAAACAGACACACTAATTGCATCTTACCGGACATTTACTTTCAAGCAGGATTGCTCTGAGGACCTTTACTCACTAATCATTTGAAATTTGCTACTAGCCTGCCTTTGCAATTAGCAAAAACCATTGCTGTGCTGATTAGTGTCATGGCAACTAAACAGATATATCATACATTTATGTATCAGCATCCAAGGATTTAGGATTGTGGTTATCTGTAGCTAGATTCTGAGGGTTGAGATTTTAAAAGCTCAATTGCAGTCCTTAGGCGCACAGTGCCCACTGAATTTAAATCCCAGGTGTGTAGGTTTCTGTGGTAGTTGGCAGTGAAATAGCATTGTGTTTCTTTTTCACTCACCAGTTCCTACACTCAAATTCTGCTCCCATTTCTACCTCCTCAGCTCTCCTGTTGGTAGGTAGGGTTTTATGGTGGGTATAAATGAGGAGAGAATTTGAGCCTGTAGGAGTGCATAATGGTTTGCCCCACTCTCAGAGGGAACTTCTCAGCATTCTGGCCTGACAGAGTGAGATAGAATGCTTCAAATCCATCATTACATAAAATCACACATCAGAAAAGTCAAATCTCGCTGTTTGTACTGGAGCAAGTCGTGTGCTGAAGTTAGTAGATGCTTTGCCTTAGGACACTGAGGGTGGTAGGGGGTGCCGAGGCTGGCACTTCTGCCATGGTGGCTCCAAGGCAGCCGTCACCCAAGTGCTTCTGCAAGAGGGGGCTGCTGCCAGCTCCCCAGGCAAATACCTGTGGGCTGGGACTGATTTTGGTCACTACCTACCTGATGTGGATTCCAGCCCCTTGCCCAGAGTGGCCCCATGGTTGCCCAAGAGGAGCCCCTCTATGGAAGAAGGAAGACCCAGCCCTCCCCTTGGATCCTCCTCGCAGCAGTTCGAGGAGTGCCGTGCTTCCCTGTGGAGGAGATGGAGATAGGGCACTTGTTTGTTGAAAATATTGATTTGTTTTGCAGTTGTGTTACTGGGAAACAAAACTGTGTTTGAGATTTAATTATCATTATTTGGTTTGCGGTTTCTTTATTTGTTTTTTAACTTTGTCATATATGCATTAATCTTAGTTATCTGAGGTTAGTTGTCTCGTTCCAGCTCTGTGTATTGCCGTGGTTAAAGTGTTGACAATGAATTTCTTTTTTTTTTAATTGCATTTTGCTGAAGCATATTAACTCATTAAGTAATATCTGTCAGTCATCACAAATGTGCATCATTTTTTAACTTTCAGAATATTACTAAATAACCACCTCATAATAAAATTAGCACTTTAAAAGCTACAGCATAGCTTCCTATGCCGTTTAAACTATTACAAAAGTGCTCTAGCTGAAAAACAAAAAAGATCCTTCCAAGCTAGCTTTAAGGATTTTCAAGTGCTGCTCCAAAAATGTAAAAACCAGGCAGATTTAAGTTTTGCAAAGAATTGGAGTTTTGATCATGATTGTAACAGAGGGAATAGAGTGGCACATTTAATGGCTGAGGTTTTATGTTTTATGGTAGACATAGGCTGCATCGAATTATCTTGTCTGTGTTGGCTCTTGTCTTTCTGTCTCTCTGAAAGAGTGAAGTAGGTTAACAATAATGCATTATAATTAGTGGAAAATGGCATGTGCTATAAAATACAAGGCCTTCAAACCAGTATGTTTTAGTACTCCACAGGTTTGTTACAAAAGCACCCTAATGTTCTCATTTTCTCTCTTCATCAGCTCAAGTATTTTGTAAGTGCATTTTGTAATTTTAGCAAAACTTTGCTGAAAGGTCCCTTAGAAATGTTGTGTTACTTTCTGTCCTGTACTTTAACCTTGGAGATTCAGAAAGTGTGGGGGTTTTATTATTTATATTAATTTTTCCTCTCTGGCTCCCAGATGTCTGTTTAAAAATGCTCCTGAATGCTTACTTGGGAAGTGATTCATCATTTTTCAAAGCAATTCACATTTAAAGAACAGCCCTGTAACCAAAGATTACCACCTTCATTTTGTAGTTCAGGACTATTTAAAGAACATCTCATTCTTTTTCTGTCTCTGGCTTAATAACAAGATTGACCTAGCCCTTCCATAAGTTTTAGCTAAGTTTGGAATAAATTTGCATGCAAGACCTTGGCAGTACGGATTGTTTCTGAGATACTGAACTCCTGTTTTGATCTCTGTCTGAATCATGCCTAAGCACTCTGATTTCATAGTTAGCATTGGTTGCAGGATACACAAAGTGCTCTGAGTGGTCCTTTGATTCCCACCCTGCAAGGGAACTGGGCCACAGGCAGTGCTGTGCCAGGTGTGTGCCACACAGCACCGCCTGCCTGCCCAGTCCCACCCCAAGTGTTGTGAGGGGCACTTATGACTCCTAATCAGAGGATTTCAGCCTAGAGGCAGCTGGGAGAGGCTCTCCCATAGTGTGCCTTAGCCCAAAGATTGAAATCACACAGTTTGGGAGCATTCCTTGCTCTCCTTTGACTATATAGAAAGATTATAGATAAGTGAGTCAGATAAAGGCCACAGTGGATGCCTGGGTCCAACAGAAAAATTCACATGCAAAGTAAAAGAAAAATCCTCTTGCTTAATGATGTTTTAACCTTCTTAAGTGTAAGCTAAGTTTGTCACAAATTTTAAAATATTACTCCTGGGACACTTATTAATTAATGGAACCACTCAGTGCTTCTTGCTGCCATACAGACACTGTGCTCCCAGCCAGTGCAGGAGGGTCAATGATGGGCTTTGTGTGGCAGTGTGGGGATGATGACATACATGTGAAATAAGAAAAACTCCCCAAAACCCAAGCCCCAAGATGCAGTGACCCTGGTGAAACCAAAAAACAGCAAAATTTTTCCTTTTTATTTATTAGCAGAAATTGCAAAGGTGTATCTTCATACTGTTTTCCCTCTTTTGTCTTTGTATAATTGTTATGTTGTTTACATACTTAAAGAACAAAGATGTTAAAAAAACCTAATCTGGTTCAGTTTTATTTGTGGAATTGGAAACCCCCCCAAAACAAATACATTTTCAAAGGCAATTCAGAAAGAGTCCTGATTTCAAACCACTTATCAGCTTTTTATTTACTATGTTCTTCTGGGATAGAGCCTACTTTCTCAAGTGCAATCCATGTATATTTTTTTTTATCTCAGTTAAATGCAGCTTTCCTAGCAGTACGTTTTATTTGGTGCAGTATGTAATGTGTCTTATCTTGATGAAAAAATAAATACTGCTTTTGAAAGAAGACACTCTGAGTGATTATTCATATTTGGATGAAGAAAAAATCAAAGACATTTCCACAACTTGACACCATCCATGCTCATAAGGTCTCCTTCTGAATTTTAGCAGTCATTCCCAGGAGCATCAGGGAAGGACCAAAGTGCAGTTTTGGGATAATCGAGTTTGAACCTCCAAGCTGGCAGAGCTGACAGCTTCCTTGTGGAGCAGCAGCAGTGTGACAGCAGCACAGCATTTCTCAGAGCTGGATTAGGACATCCCCCCATATTTGGTGCTGATCTCAGCCCCTGCAGGCTTGGCTTGGCTCCAGGAGAGACATCTGAACTCATCTCGCTTTAGCTGCTCCTTCCTGCCAAAGGAGGCTGCTGCAGGAGCTCTGCTTCTCACCTCAGCAAGGGCAGAGCTGAGCATGCAATGCCTGCAGGGCAGCTGAAGGAGCCTGGGGCCTCTCGAGCTGGGCAAATTCGAGCTGTGCTCCTGGGTTTGGGCATTTCCTCCAGCTTCGCCAGAAGCCGCTTTTGCTGTGTTGCGGCAAATAGTAACCTTCAAAGCTCTGGTAACTACTTTCAATTTAAGGTTCTTGTGTTAAGCCTTAGGCCTTCATTGGATCTTGGACTGAATAAGAACATGAAATTTTTGCCCAATTGATTATTCACGAGCCAGATCCTCTGTCTGATAAGGGAATACAGAGAGCATACAGTAGTCTGGGAACCCAGCTTTTTAGTTTGTCCTCATACATGAGCACCTTTTTCTGTACAGTGATGCTACTGATCTGAAGCAGTCAGACATTCAGATGAGCATATTTATCCCCTTTGGTTTGCTCCTTGTTATTCAGAGAAAAAAAATACTGTATATTTTTTCTTTTTTTTTTTTTAAGGCAGTCAGAAGATACACTTGCTAACATTTGCTAACAAAGGAATAATTTCTCATTTCTCTTGCATACGGTGAACAGGGCCATAGTTAATGGGTAGAGGAGATATTTTTTGCCTTTTGGACAGAAACTCAGCAACTCCAAAATGTTCAAGGATGGCATAAATGTCCTCCCACCTGGCATTGCTACACACCTCCATAACTAATGGCTAGCTAACACCAGCTTGTCCTCAAGGAATGTGTAAGTGAAAGCTTTAATAAATCTGAAACTTGGGAAGCAGCTCTGCATCTCTTCATCTGTAAAAGTATTTGGTTCACAACATCATTCAGGAACTTACCATCACCTTTTTCTAAAAGTAGTGGGTTTTTTAAATGCTCATCTTCTCCTTTTTGAAGAAGAGAATCTTCCTCTAGCTAATTTTAAGAACTGTAACAGCTGTAAAAATACTTGCCTGTAAATTCAGTCAAGATTTCTCTTGCTCTTGTCCAGAGTGCACTGCCCATACACACTGCTGTAATGTAAATTCAGCAGAGGTCCAGTTTGTACTTATTCTCCCAGGGACTCCAGTGCAGCACATAATGAAAATTTAGAAATCAGTATTCCTGTCCCTCATTATAGGAGTTTTAACTTTGTTTATTGACAGTCTTGGTCAAATATGCTGAAATAAACATTCATAGTTTATTTAGTCATTCATTGACAGGCTGTGAAAATCTGCTTTAAATGTTCAAAGTACAAATTCAATTTTCTATTTCTTTTCAAAGAATGATAGAATGGCTTGGTTTGGAAGTGACCTTGAAGATCATCTAGCTCCAAATACTTCTCCTAGAAATGGAATTTCCAAACCAGCAAATGTTCTGCCATGAATAATAGGAGGGAAATATTCTAGGTTCAGTCTGTCTTTTACAACTGATTTGACTTAAGATGGTCTGAAATTCTATTGGCAAAAATTTATATTTCAAAACTGAGTTTATATAACCTGCTTTTTGAAACTGAGTTTCAAAGCCTCATTTATGTATTGCTTATAGAAACTTGCTGTGGCACAGACATGCTTTAATAAAAATGGAAATAGTTATGTAATAACAGTTAATGTATTTGATGCTCCAATTTCAAGCTGACAAAGATTTTTGCTTCACTTGGAAGAATTTCAGTTTCAGAGCTAGTACAAAGCAAACAGGATAAAAATGACTGGGTACCTTCAAATATTTTGACATAAAGGGTCAAATTCTTTGACATAAGGAAAAAACTCTTAACTTTTATTCATTGCATTTCCTTAAAAAAATAATAAGAGCAGAAATCTTAACCTTTTTGTTTTGAGTTTGTAGAGTATCGTCTCAAGTAGGGGATACATCTCAAGTAGGGGATACTGAAATGAGCTCTCTCATTTCAGTCTGAAACCAGTTTACCCTTTCTGAGATGAAGGTGGTCCGGAGAACCACCCTTCATACCAATACAATTCTGTCAAATATTTCTTTGTGCTCCCTTTCTCATCGCTTTTTGTCAAAGAATAAAAAAAAATGTTGGTAATACTGTCCTTCCACTTGCATTTATTATGGGAAGAAAGAGGATTCCCTCCCTCAAAATGGGGCACCATTTTACACTGAGGAATCCCAGGCTGGCTGAGGTGGGAAGGGACCTCTGGAGATGGTCTTGTCCAGCCCTCTGTCCAAAGCAGGGCCATCTACAGCACCATAGCAGTGCTCAGTCCTTTCCAGTTGGGTTTTGAATTTCTTCAGGGATGGAGATTCAGCTCTTTTTACTAGATTATGTAGAGCAAAGGTGAGGCATTAGTTTTGACAAATTGTGTGGAGTCAGAGAAAAGTCTGATGAACCCTTGGACTTGCACTAAGGACTGTGGCTCATGGAAGACTCTTCAGTCTGTGATGACCAGGCCTTTCTCCCTGCCACATATATCCAACAATATCACCAGGATGCTAAATTCCAGGACCAGAAAGAGTATCTTAGGTGCTGTGGGGAGAAGGGCCAAACATCCATGCTGGAGGCTTTTCCCCTAAGGTACAG